CCCAAAGCATTTTCACCGGAGCCAAAACCAAGGCAAGCTGCAGCTTAAAGGAGTATGAAAGCACAAGTAATGAGAGTCAGATATATAGTATACCTCAACTCTTTATAGACGTGCACTGATTTTATTCATGGTTAATGAATCCGTAGCCCCTGACATGGAATCATGTATTACTTGTCCAACCCCTTTTGGTGTTTTCTTGCTAGTATTTTGATAACAAAGATAAGAAAGTGACTGCAACCATGAAACCAATGTCGGTTTCCGTATAACATCATCCGATTCTGCAACATGTTGATATAACTCGTTGAGAATCATATCCTGGCCATTGGAAGGTAAACGAACGACCAACTGCGCCAGTAACTTCATTAAACTAGGCAGAACCTGAGAGCAAAAAAATGTTTTTATTTGCCATTTCAAGTACATTATGTTGACATAGTAGGCATAAACCATGGCTAGGAAACCTAAGACAAAATCAGCATTTGCATAGTTGAAGCATCTCTCCATTTTCTCTTTTCCATTTTAGAAAGCTTCTATCTTAATTCAAGAAAGAGCTCCTATAATTTATTCCAAATACCTAAATTTTCAAATGAACGAAGAAACAAGAAGTTAAACCGTTAAAGTGAAGTAGCACCCATATTGAGTGTTTGCTATCAATAAAATGCATGTGTCCCTTATGATTTACTTATAACTGCCTAGCATTAGGTTGCCCAGTTGAAGTCAAACATTATTGCCATTTACCTGTATATCAACAAGAGAAAGGAGACGTAAAAGCAAATCCAACATCTGCTTGAAAGGCTCCAACTCTCCATCCCAACTCTTCCACAAGTCATTTTTTGGAGTAGTATTGACTGAACTACAAAGGCTATCAGCTTTTTCAATGAGACAGGAGATGCAATAGAATATAGACGGGCTTCCAGCAGGCAAATGTCTAACCAGTGCAACAACTCCAGAAGCGAGTCCCTCAAAAGGAGTAAACCCAGGATATCCCTAAACTTTCAGTTAAATCAGAAAACAAGTTCAAGCATCACAGCAATTAAGTTTGATAACTTCTATTACCTCTAAAGATCTCTTGACATAATAGAATACAAGTTGCTCCTTTAAAGTAACTCTTTCATCTAGGTCAGCATCCTTCCCAGAGGACATGAAAGCGACAAACACTGAGTGTGAGGCTTTAGCCACTTTCCCAGTTGGATGCCCCATGTATCTGGTTAAACATATTAAGGAAATTTTCATAAATTCAACCAAGTTTAGCTTTCCTACTTGTTTCTAGATCTATCCATCAGATGCAGGATACAGGAACATGGTTGGAGCCAGCACCTTGCGGAATACAGAGGCTGGTATACATTCTACGCAAGTTGGGATTACTCGCAGATAAAATAATATCCGAGCAGTCTGCACTTCATCAGTAGTCCAAAGATATTCCATTTTCTGAAAGCTAGTAGGTACTGCAAGGAAAAAGGTAATGTTTTGTGAAAGACTGTAATAGAGCAAACATACTGACAATTACAAACGTGCAAGGAAAAAAAAAAAGTCACAACCAGCTTGGTTTGTCAAATCATCATAAGATGGAAGAGACTCCACGAATGAGACACAGGCAGATTCATTCTCCTGAACCCTAGTAACAACTGCTCTAATCGTATCCATATACTCTGGCAAACGCATTCTGCGAAAATATTCCATACAAGAAAATGCAACCAATATCCTCACTGAAAGTCTCATTTGAATTTCTTGGGGAGCACCTAAACCTAACTTGTGCTTTGTTACTGCCAAGGCAAAGAACACAACCATGAAGAAAGCAGATTCAGCAATTTTTTCCAGATTCCCTAATAGTGCTTCCTCCCTATCTCGAAGCATCAAAGCAACCTGCCGATGCCACATATAGACATCCCGACAGTAATTCCATATGATATCCTCTACTATACTTCGGTTTTCTTCATCTGCCAAGACATACTGATTGCAAAAAACACCAGTTATGGCTCCTGCTTCCTTAAAAATAATGCTGTCTAGATGTTGCTGGACCTCATTGAGAACTAATCCCACCAAGTTTCCAGAAGGTGATTCTTGGATTTTGACATAAATACGTGGCAAGGGGAAGATTTCAGTCAGCAATGCTGTAGTGAGGCATAGAAACACATGAGCTTGGTAAGAAAATGGACCAATTTTAGATAAAGCTAATGATAGACACTGTAACAAAAAGGAGTTTCTTGGCTCCACGGTAGCATAATCAGCATCTCTGGCACTAGAAACTAAACCATGAGCAATAATCTCGATACGTCCCTCTGCAGAAGTCTTTAACTCCATTAATGCTTTCTGTTCAGATCTATTGATGACTCTTAATACTCCAGCAGCAGCCATGACTACAGCAAACAAAGAGAATGCTGGTCGTGTATTCTTCAATACCTCTCTACTGAAAAGATCAATCTTGTCTGCAGAGTGGGAATTGATAAAATTTGAAAAACTCCATTCCATTAGATGCAGTACCATGAGCCCATTAGACACACTAGCAGAAGGACCATCACTTTTATCCCACAATTCCATTAAACAACAGAGAAGTTTAACAAAATAAATGTTCACAGAAGAAGATAAGGCATAGCCAATTCCTGCAAGAACATTGGGGATTGCCCTTTCAGACAAGCGGATCAATCTATAGTCTTCTTCAAGGAGCTGGCAGAGCAATTTCAAGCAGACCGTTTTAGATTTTTCGGATGCTGAAGGTACAAAAGAAAGAGCACCAAGGAGGAGAA